ACATTGTCTTAGTGGACTATGTTAGACCAGTTGACCTGTATATCCTGTGAGACTATGGCCCTGAGCCCCCAGGCTCAATAACTCCCTCCTTCAAAGTGTTTGCTTGGGTATAAGAAGTCTTCATAGCTTTGCTTCCTGTATGCTATACTGTATTCATGGATATACTTGCAGGTCATATAAATCCATAGATAGAAATAGCCTCTGTCAAACCTCTGTCTGTGTGCACTGTCATTCACCTTCCTACACCTGTTCAGCATGCACGCTGTGTAGCTGTCCATTGGTTATTGGTTTTACTGGTTATGACACGGCTGCGTATGTGATAGTATTTACTTATGTTGCCTTTAACTCATGTGCTCCTTCCAGTCTCTTCTTTGTCATCATTTTCAAGTCTTTTTTTGAAAGAACATAATACAGAAAGAGAGCAATCTTTTAAAGAAATCTAGTACCACTTCGTGGCACATTATGGGCAGCCTTGTGAGTTTAAAAAAAAAGAAAAAGTACTCTTATCAAAATACCGTAATCACAAAAGTTTGTTATTTTAAAATCTATTTATGAAAGATGGAATGTCTTAAAAAGCAGTTAAAGTTGTTGTGACAGGTACCTTTTGAAAACCTTTTGAAAAGCTGACTAAATCTGTAAATGCTTTTCCTAGGAAAAACCCATCGATATACATATATGCTGACATCTTTGTGCAACAATTCAGGAGATTGGAGAAACCGAAAATCCATTCTTAAGAACTCTAGTTAAGAACTCATGCCCGCCACTTAATGAACTAGAAAAGCTTTAGAAAATATAACATAGCTGATATTCCTTACTTTAAATTAAATTTACCATGTGTCTTCTCCAATAAAATAGAAAGAAAAGTCAGAAGTGTGGATATATGATTGATTTGTGGTTCCTCTGAAATATATGAGGAAAGGAAACTTTTATCTCTAAAATAATGCAGTTTTTGATTATTGTATTTTGTTAAAGTGACAAGATTACTGAGTAAGGTATTTAGTATATTTATGCTTAAAGTTTACATGTGTATGTGAAGGCTGCGGGTTCCCATTAGTTAAGAAAATGAAAACATTGTAAGAATGCAGACTTCAGATAGCAATAAATGACTATCAGTGATTAACCAACAGGTGCATGATTTGAAAGCAATCTTCTAAGTGTTAAGCTAAAATAAATGACTAAATTCTTTGTTGACATCCAAGTCCTTGAATGTTTTTAACTTAATTTACTATTTGTAGAATACATTCTAAAAACTACATACATATATTGCTTTGTTCTGATTACAAAAGTTTTATGTAGATGGTACAGAAAATTTGTAAAGTACAAGAAGGTAAAAAGACAAAAATTATAATCATTTGTAATCCAGGTATCATAAACACTTTTTCTATTTTTTCAAGTTTATGTGTATACAAGAAGGCTTCCAAAAGTTCTGTAAAAAATGGAATAAAAGGCTAATGGAATTTTCTTAGAATGTTTTGTAGCCCCCGTATATAAATGTATTAAAATACAAATTTAATCATGTAATACATTAGTGCTTTATAGCTTGCAAACATTTTTCGTATTATTAAAAGCACTTCTATATTATCATTTTTAATGTCAGAGTAGACTATTGTTCAGTCTCCTGTTGTTGAATATAAATTATTTCCAGTATTATAAATAATTCTGCAGTACGCATACTTACAGGAAAATCCTTGGACATATTCTTGACTAGTCCCTTAGAATAGATTGGTAGAAATAGAATTTCTGAGTAAAAGTTATGCTGGGGGCAGGCTTACGGGGGGTATACCCTTTGATTGTTTGAACAGTTATATATTCCTGAGTGCTTCGGTGTACATCCAAGAAAAAGGGGAATGGAAGCAAATGCTGTTGAATGATGATGCATGGAGGGGGATTGTAATCATTACAATAAAAGGAAATACGATAGGATGAATGCAAAGCTAATGTTCTCCCATGTAAACTTACCACTCAATTCACAATAAAAACTTTTAAAAAGAAAAGTATATATATTAAGGCTGTGCTTAACTAATTTATGTTCCAAGCAGGTTACACCAATTCATATTTTTCTAGAAGTGAAGGGGAGTGATTGTTTCTTATATCCCTACCATCACTGTTGTTATTAAGTACCGTGGAGTCAGTTCCGGCTCATCAGGGTTTCCAAGGCTATAAATGATATACGGGAGCAGAAAGCCAACATTGGGCTTCTCTTTTTAAGTTGCTACCCTGAAAAGTGACAATATGTACCTGAGCTGCTTTCACTTTCATTTCTTTGATTTTGATTCTTAAGGAAGTGGTACATTTCATCATGTACTTATTAGACCTTTATAGATAGCGTATGAATTATATGTCTTTGTCCTTTGCAGTTTGTCTGTTGACTGTTTCTTCCTAATTTGTAAAAATGGGTTTATAAATTAAGGACATACTAGCCCTTTTTCTGTAATACGTTGACAGTGTTTTTGCAGTTTGTTGAGTTATTTTTGGAACATTGGATATGTAAATACCATAAAATTTTATACCAATACCAGTATATCTGTCAACCAACCTCTCTTTTCATTGCTTCTGCCTTTGTATATTTTGCTTAGAAAAGCATTTCCATCCAAATATTATATAATGTCTTCTGTTCTTCTTTAGGATTTTTGTAGTTTTTGTTTGTTTGTTGTTTTAAATCTTGAATTCATCCAGAATTTATTTTGTTACACCCTCGGAAACCCTGTACAGGGTCGCTATGGGTCGGAACCGACTCGACGGCACTTAACAACAACAACAAAATAGTGCGAGTAGGATTTTTTTCTTTTTCCCCCCTTTGTTAGCCAGATGTCCTTCAATTAGTTACTACGTACTTTTCCTGCTGCCTTAAAATTCTATCTTTACCAATCCTAAATTCTTATAAACATATCATTCCATTTAAGGATTCCAGTTGACATCTTTGATTATCTGTTTGTTCTTTTGTAGTGCCAAACTATTCATATTATTGTAGTCTAATACTAATAACTCTCGCTATTCGCCACTTCATCCTCATACATCCTCTAATTTGGTTTGTTACTTCTGTTGCATGCTTTTATTACACCCATTGCCCCATCATAGCACTTAGACATTGTTCTTATGTTTAGATTTGTATTACTGTGTAACAGATTACCACAAATTTAGCAGTTTAAAACATCCCACATTTATTTTGTCATTGTTTCTGTGTGTTAGGAATCCAGTTGGGTCTTCTGCTTCCAGGTCTTTTAAGAGACTGTGGTTACGGTGTTAGCCATGGCTAGGGTCTTAGTCTGAATGTTCAACTGAAGAAGGGTCTGCTTCCAAGCTCATGAGCATGCTTGTTGGCACAATTAAGTTCCATTTGGGTTGTTCGTTAGCTTCTAGCTGACTACTGACCACAGCTACCTTTAGCTCCTTGATACATAGGCTTTCTCAATACTTCAGTTTGTTTCATCAAAGTTATCAAGGGAGACATTATTGTAGCAAGGTGAAATGAGAATCTTTTGTAATCTCACGAATTGTAATCCCCTCAACCTTGAAATATTGTATTGATAAGAAACAAATTACTCAAGGAATTACACAAGTCCTTGGATCCCAGGAGGCAAGAATCACTGGGGACTATCTTAGTAGTGGCTTATCATTCAGTTTTTCCAACTTTACTAGATAGTCTGTGAGAATGGGCCATGTCACTCTTACTTATTATGATTGATTGTTACTGTGTGGCATACTGCTTGACATATAACCAAAACCAAAACAAAGCCTACTGCCATTGGGTCAATTCCAACTCATAGCAACTCTTTATAGGGTTTCCAAGGCTGTAAATCTTGGAAGATTTGTAAGAAAGCCTCATCTTTCTCCCTTGGAGTGGCTGGTTGTCTACATAAATATTTGTGAGATAAGAATGTGTCTCTAATAAATGTTAGATGTTTAGATTTGTTTTTCAGACCAGTCTAAGTCTTTGTCTTTTAAGAGTTGAGTTTAAATCTTTATATATATATATTGTTATAAAATTAGCTGGATCTCTGTCATCTCATTTTACTATGTTTGGTTTTCATCCATCTCTGCAGTTTCCCTTGAGTATCTATCTGTCTTTTGCTATGTGAGCTGTTTCCTTTGCTTTCCATTCAAAATGCTACCAGTTCTTGAGCCGTAGCAGCCTCTTCCATGGTCTCTGTGTATCTTCACTTTTTGCTCCTATCCCTCTGCCTTCCACTAGAGCCCTCGATGCTGACTCAAAGCAGGGAAGGTTCCAGTTTACATTTTTAGGGCTGATGCAGGGAAAAGGAATGCTGTCTCTCTTCCAGTTCTGTAAAGGTAGGAGTTGGGTATGTTTTTGGTGTCTTCTATTATTACTCAAATGCATTTATAAACACATATAATGCTCTTACTGCATAGCATCATACATGAAATAAACTTTATTGGTAGCATATAATTGAATCATTTCTTATAGGATTAAGATATTGTAAGGAAATGTGCGTCACTTCAAAGAAACTTTGCAGTTCAAATGACTTTGCAGTCTGATGCATTAGCCCATAGTGCCACATAAATTGTAAATTGAGTGTATGTAATCTTTCTACTGGTTTACTCATTTATCTAACTATTTTAAATATTGTAACTTTATAATGCATTATACAGTATCTGGATTCAAGTCCTTTTTCTCTTTTTTAATTATCTTTCAAAGTATTCTGTATTTTCGGTTGTTTATTTTTTGTATGGTTTTCTTAATCTTGTTTTGCTAGTTCCTTAAATGTGTTTAATTGTAAGTCTGATGTCCCCCTTCTGAAAGAGGCTGTAACTTTGAAGACCTAGTGTATGTTTGACTTTTAACTGAAGTGCATATGAACATTCACTAGGTGAATATGAAATGGGAAAGATGATGCCAGGTTTCACTTTTACTGAGTTTGAAATATTTTAATGAGTTGTTTGCTGTTCAAAGCTATACTTCACATTCAAAGCACAGTATTTAAAACTTGATACAGACTTTGTTATTTCGATTTTTATTTTGCTTATTTTTTGCACCTTAGGTTTACTCCAAAGGCATCTCTTCCACCAGCTTTTCAGATGCATCTGTCAAGAACTTGTCCTCAGGGAATGAGTGGTATGTTTTTTCAACATTATCTTCATATACATTCTGGCATCAGGGGCCTCCGACCCCCAAGGAGAAGATGGGACAGAGACCTTTGCCATTTGTTCTCACCTTCTCTTACTGTTTCTTACTCTGAATATATCTTTCCTTCCTCTTTCCTAATTTTTCCATCATAAATTCAAGTGATCTAAAGAGATAATCATACCTCCAAGGATAACGTTCTTGCCTTGACATGAGGCTTTCTCACTACAGTCCTCTGTTTTACTTCTATAAATCACCTGCACAGACACTCTGATGCTCCGTCCTACACTGGAGCTTTCATGCATTAGAGCGTGAGCCCCCAGACTTTGGAGGCTCAGGGAGGCTTCACTTAAAGGAAGCTCATGCTTCTTAATTTAAGACACATAAATATGGGGCTTAATTTCAAGAATTTGAAATCCTCCCTGGTAGCTTAGTGGATTATGACCTGGACTGCTAACCACAGGGTCAGTAGTGTGAATCTACCAATCACTCTTCAGGAGAAAGATGACGGTCGGAAACTCTCAACAGGGTTGCTTTGTGTCAGAACTGACTCAATGGTACACAACCACCACAAGTCCTAGTGTGGCACTATAGGGTAAGCAATCGACTGCTAACCACAAGGTCAGCAGCTGCTCCTTGAAAACCCTATATGACAGGGGTTGTTGTTGAGTATCATTGAGTCAATTCCGACCCATCATGACCCTTTTTAGGGTTTCTGAAGAGCAGCTGGTGAGCTTCAACCACCGACCTTGCAGTTCAAACGGCTTTGCAGTCTGGCGCATTAACCCACAGTGCCACACCATATGACAGGGGTAGGGAACCTTTTTTCTGCCAAAATTTATATCATCATCTGTGGGCCATACAGAATTATCAGATTAAAAATTAGCCTGCTAGATTTGGTCAAACATTTATCTAATTTACCCCTAATGTGGTGGCTGGAGACCTGGTGTGATATTATGGGATAATGCACTGGACTACAAAGTTGATTTGAACTGCTAGGTCGGAGATTCAAGCTCACCGGCTGTTCCTTGGAAACCTAGACAGGGGTGCTATGGGTTGGAATCGATTCAATGGCACTTAACAACAACAACAAATGTGATGGCTAGAACAGCAGTTGCCTTGGCAAAGCCAGACCAAATGACTTTGATGACCTTATGCAGCCCGATGGCCAAGTGTTCACTCCTGCTGTTTGGGGTTGTTGTGAATCAAAACCAACTCAGGACATGTAACAACGACCACCATATAAAAGTCATCATCACCTTACACTAGTTCAGTGACCACTAAGCATCTAAACACACCATAAATGAGAAACATAACTATAAATCCCAAAGGCTTGTACCAAAGAAAACAATCAGAGATGTAATATAGTCAAAGAATCTGAAGATTAGTAATAACAATCACTCGTCTCTTCCTCCCACCAGTAAATAAATCCCCTGCTCATTGTCTCACCCTGAGAAATGCTGTTTTCAGATCATGTACTTAATTAGGCTTCAGGAAATTTAATGTGATTTTGAATGATTTCAGTGTGATTCTTCTTGAGTCTAAATTCTTGTTTTGTGGCAGTCTACATCTCCAGTGTGATGTTTGCTTATATGAATTATTTTTGCATATGTACTAGCTGAAACATTTAGTCAGTAAAGTTAGGACTTTTTATGAAATTTCTTTGAAGAAGCTGATCTTTATTTCTATGAATTACTTTTACATATTCAAAACATACTTAGAGGATTAAATTCCTATAGATTTTTTCTGCAGAACCAAGCAAATCTGTTTTAGGGAGGTTGCGAATTAGCTGGCCGAGGTGATAGGCAGGGCATCCTCTCAGCTCTTCTGCAGGGTGGCAAGCTAGATTACTTCCCTGGTTTGTTTAACAAAAGGTACAGCCAGTCAGTTGAGTCTGATGGCTCTACTCAAAGAGACACATTTATAGACTTCAACTTCCTGAGTCTCTCAGAAAGGTAGAGTCTGGCCAGTTTTGAGAGACTAACCTTTCTCTTCTCCCAGTCCTTTTATATCATCATTTGGGAACACTTAAAAAATAAGCTCTGCCATTAATAGGAAATATAATATACAAGCGCAGCCATGACCCTTGTTTCGCTGAGCTAATTGTGCCGTAGCATCCAGGCATCCTGAAAGAATAGTGTAGCCTTGGGCGTCCTCATATCCCCCAAGGCCAACATCCCTAAGCCAGCCTGTATGTCACCAGCTAGTTAAAGAGTAAATAAAATAAAATAGATCCCAACAAAAATCCTGTCTGGTTAAAATATAATTATATTTTGCTTGTAGGAGGTAATATTTAATCTATTCTGACGTATATTCCTGTGAAACTTACAAGAGGCTTAGAGTAGATGTCATAGTTCTTAAAATACCAGAGCAGTCAGCTATAGCGAACACTCAGATTTCTGTATTCTCTTAGCAAGTTCACTCAGTCATTAAATAGAAAGTAAATGTGAGTAAGAGAGCTAACCAAACTTTCATAAATATTCACTTATGAATATTGTTAATAATTATCTGTGGGCTCCAAACATTTCTTTATGTTTATAAACTGGGGTTAGGCTGATTATTGTAGGTAGAACAGTTTTTGGACTATTAAGCCATTATTTTATGCTTTATGGAATATAATTTATATTTAGCATTGCATATATTCCAACATTGCCTTAAAAATTAACCTTTCTTAGCCGCATATAGAAAATGGTTAAATAAATTTCATTATTCTATTTATAGTAAGTCATCCTGAGGTTTAAAATAAACCGTAAAGCCCTTGTAAAACGAAGGAGCTTGGCTCCTCTGTTGGCGACTATTGATCCTACTAGTTACTTTGGAACTTAACCTTAGAATGAGATTTTTGGGGACTGCCTTCTAAGACCCTTGGGTCCCACAAGTCTTCAATGTAAGAGTTGAAAGGCTGGTAAAGTACTAGGTGATGGGGATAACCTAAAATATTCTGCAGTTTGGTTAATTCTATGATTTTTTTTAATTTAAAGATAATTTAAATCAGACTGTTGAAAAACCAAAAGTTGCACTTCCTGCCTCTTACCCTTATAAATTGGATGAGGTTGAAAATCGCATAAAGGAAATACTAAACAAGCATAGCAATGGCATTTGGATATCTAAGCTTCCACAGTTTTACAAAGAGTTATACAAAGAAGAACTTAATCCAGGAATTTTGCAACAGTTTGAACACTGGCCTCATATTTGCACGGTACGTTTTCCTTATTCTTACCCCTTCATCTTTCTTCCCTGATCCCCTTCCAGATTGTCCATTATTAGTCATGTCACCTGTGATCCGGGAGCAGGAAGCACTGTAGGTACTATTATCCCATTAAGCTTTACCTGGAGTCCTGGTGTGGCACTGTGGGCTAATGCGCTGGACTGCAAAGTTGGTTTGAACCACAAGGTCGGCGGTTCAGACTCACCACCTGCTCCTCAGAAACCCTCTACAGGGCCACTCTGGGTCAGAACTGACTTGACGGCATTAACAACAACAAGGTTTATCTCTTAAGATGAACAAATATTGGCTCTTGTTTATTAGGAGCATGTCAAAATTCAGGGCGCTGCGGGTTACAATTGCTTTTGTTATTTATTTTTAAAAATGATTTTAAAATGCATATAATATATATACAAGGGGACTTTTAAGAGTTCATGAAAAATGGGTTTAAAAGATAACAGTGAAAAATGCAAACTTTATGCCTCAACGTAAGGTCCTTTTCATGTGTTTGATGGCCATTTGACTGCCCTCTTTCCATTTTATGAAAGTCCTTTGTCCATTTTATGATTGGATGATTGTCTTTTGATGTTATCAGAGTTTTATTTATTTAAAGTTTTGTTATTAGATTCCAACTGGACATATAGTTTCTGAAGATATTCTCCCAGTCTTCTGATGAGAAAATGTTTCAAATTTTTATAAGGTCCCATTTGTCTATATTTTCTTTTGTTAATATATTAGGTAATCTGTTGTTAAAAGCTAGGTGTAACAGCATTGCCTATGCATATTCTTTACACAATAATTTTTTGGTTGTAGATCACACAGTTAGGTCCTTATTCATTTGGATTTTTTTTTTTTTTTTT